GTGCCCCCGTCCCAAGAACTAGCAACACTTGACGTTGTGCAAGCACAGAGAACACCGATGGCAGCGCGCACCCCCAGGGATGGGGGAGGGAAGTCTCATCTGCTTCTGGACCCTGGGGAGTTCGGTGCACCCTGGGAGAGTCAAGCAGCGGTGTGCTCTGCTCTCAGCAAAGATGAGCAAGCCAGCCAAAAGCTCTGCATTGCCATTGCTCAGCACACGGCGAGTCCATCCTATCCTTCCCCAGCCGTATCTGGCGTCAACAGGCTGGTGACCCTAGAGGCACCTCCTCCCACCCAGCAGCCACTAGTCCCTAAGTCAGCTCTCCAGCAGGTCATGTTCGCCCATTGCCTTCCTCACTATGTTTCAGGACTGCCGAGACACACATGCTGGTTTGGCGTTTAACCCCTGATGGCCCTGGGCTGGCAAGCCAGGCCCTGAGTCCCTCACACAGGCACAGTGCCATGGTTCCATATGTGGTGCACACAGCAGTTGTCCAGTGCTGGTGCTGGGGAGCTGCCTCCTTGCAGAGCAGCAGCCTGTAAGGGCCGCTGGGTGAAAACAAGCCCATTGCCCCCGTGGTGCCCTGGGAGCCTTGGCCTCCAGGCTGCCAGGATCTGGAAGGCCGTGCGTGAGTAGGGCCACTGCAGTGTTCAGAGTGTGGCTGCTTAGGGAACCCTTGAAATTGCCTTTGGAGAAATAGCAGCAGCCTGCACCGTGGCCCTGGGGCAGGGATGAGGCACAGGCTACACATGCCACTTCCTCTCTTAAACTTCAAACGTGCCATCAGACCTAAATTATTCACTTGTAATCCCTGGAGCTGGCAGCAGCTCGGAGAGGATCCAGCTCAGGTGATAAGAAGGAAGAAAGAAAAAAAAAAAAAAGAACCCATTAAATTTAAAAACCTCTGAGAGTCATAAAATGTAAAAATATATTCAGGACAGGAGCCAGGCCAGGATGGGAAAGCTGGGTGCAAGCAGGGTCTGACACTGGCAGCTCGCTGAGCATAAGGGGGGTGCCATGAAAGATGAGGGAACCTGAGGCTGAGAAGGCTGGTGGGGCTTGGTGGTCCTGGGTGCTCAGCTCTGTTACCTGTTCTAATTCCTCACAGTCCTTTATGCCTCTCTGTGGTGTGGACGGAGTGAGAAAAGAGCAGGGAACGCACGCAGAGGGAGCAGAGCTGTTCCAAGCGTGTCCCACCCAGAACGAGAGCCAAGCCCTGCTCTCCAAGGGGGCAGCCAGGGGACTGTCCTCTCCCTCTCCGCAGCCAGACTGCTGGCTCAGTCTCCCCAAAGAAGGTGCTGGGGATCCCCAAAGCCAAGGTGTGGAGCAGCTGCATCATGGTGCCAGCAGCACCCGGCAGCCCTATCCCCAGGGACACGACCAAGATGCCCAGAACTGCCTTGGCTCCTGCAACATACCTGGAAAGCCCTTGTTCGCTGGGATCTAACACAGTTACAAAACGAACTAAAACCAGGGAGCAGCTTCTGGCAAGGCATAGGCTGCAGAGCGCTGGAATGAAAAGCATTTAAAATGTCTTGCTTCATCAGCCTGGCTGCCCCCGCGCCCACCAGCTTCGGTCTGCTCCTGCAGCGAGTGCTCCATCACCTCTGAAACAAACTGCATTGATCAGGGAGAAACACTCCCATTCCAGGCCTGGAAACATGTCCTGGCACAGCTCCCCAGGAGCCAGCACTCCTCCCCATCTGCCAGGGACAGAGCAAGCAGCTGGCACCCAACGGCACCGTGGCTTTGCCCCGTGCCACGCAGGAGCGTCTGCAGCCAGTGGCACAGCGGCAGCCCAGCGCAATCTCCACAGCACAGCCAGCCCACGCCCCACATCTCTGCC